GGGACACAATTGAGTAAAGAAATTTGTGTACTTACATAAATCAGTAGTCCTTCATATTTTATTGTTCACTTCAGTTTTGTAAACGCATCGATTGTGTTACGGTTTAGTTGGTCTGTTTTACTAGCTTTCATTTTGGTATTTTCCAATGAAAAAAATATTTAAAACTGATAGAAAAGAAGTGGGTTTCTTTCAAATTACATAGTTTTATTAAATTTATATTTCACCTGGACCTTACAATGGAAAAGACGGTAGATGTTTTTTTAAAAGAAAGTTACCCTTTTAAAGATTATACATCTATGAAAAGCAACAATTCAATGCAAATTTATGAAACATTCGCAATGTCTCTTTGTGATTGTGTTTGTAGTAATGACTCTGTCGATCCTGGTAGATCGTGTTACGTCTTCATAAGTTGGAGTAAATAGAACAATTTTCGGTCATAGTCGTGCTAGCTGACATAAATAGTGTCTTTATAATGATTGCAATAGAGAATAAAGTTCTTCGTTGGTTATCTTAAAACGAAACACGCGTCTTGCGTACAAAACAATACGCCTGGTATCGTAGATGAGTTGTTATAAAAGTATTCCTTAACATTTCACGGTTACCCAACAGGCTTTCCATTTTTTATTTCGGTCTTAAACATTGATTTATCTCAATCTAGATCAATGTTGTGTGTTTCGACTTTAGCGTCTACGTGATAAATAACATAATTTTCTGAAACTCACTGTGGATGAATTAAGAAATTACAACGCAGCTCTTCAGGCAGAAATGAACTAAAATGTATTTGGATATTCTTTATATAGATATAAGAAGATGTGGTATGAGTGCCAATGAGACAACTCTCCATCCAAGTCAAAATTTATAAAAGTAAACCATTATGGGTCAACGTACGGTCTTCAACACGGAGCCTTGGCTCACATCGAACAGCAAGCTATAAAGGGACCCAAAAATTACTAGTGTAAAACCATTCAAACGGGAAAACCAACGGTCTAATCTATATAAAAAACGAGAAACGAGAAATACTTATGAACCACATCAACTACTGAACATCAGATTCCTGAATTCGGACAGGTGCAAAGAATTGCAGCGGGTGTAAACGTCTTAATGGTACCAAACATTCACCCTTATCTGAAACAATAGTGTAACATCACAACATAGAAAGACACACAATAAAATATCAATTGAAATGGCTTAACTCAATCAAAAGACATATTAACACCAGTTAAATCATTAATTAAAGTAACATGTTATACCGCTGTGAAATGTTAAAAATTTAAAAAAAACAATATGCTTGAATAAAAATATCAGCCATTTGCAATTACTTTAAACACAGGTAAATGAAAATAATTTTGTTGTTAGGTATACGTGTACAGTTCAAAAGGAGAAAGGAAATATATTTACAAAATAAATAATTTTGATGTTCATAGTACGAAGAAGTGAAAATTTATAGTAATACCAAACACTTATCAAAGCTGGTATATAGACCAGATATAACCCTGAATAACAGTAAATAACAAAAAAACATTACAATTAGTATCAACAAGTCAAATAAACAAGAAAGTACGATTTGAGAGTACTCGCAATTACTGACAGCTAGTAAAAAGCCAAAAACAATTGATAATAAAAAATCATGCATCAGAGACTCAAATCAACTAAAACATCCCAGGGATTTAGTATTTTCACGTCATGGACAGTCAAAGAAGACTTGACTTGTACAATGCCAAAAATAAATGTATCGACAGGCAGTAGAATAGTTAGGAGTTAACCTCTTTATAGATCAAAATGAACGTGGGTGTGTCCTCATTCATCCCGTTTGAAAAGAATACAAATTTAGTTATGTTTTAATTTGCTAATGACAAAATCGATATTAGTGCCAATGTAAACTATATTCAAAGATCTAATTACAACATTGGTAAGATAACCTTTACTAATAAGTTTGTTTAAAGGTTCGATGAGTTTACACGGATAACATAGTGATTTCTGTGCTTTAAGTACACTATTACCGTAAAATTTAGGATGTGAAATACCGTTTTTAATCAGTTTTCTACAGGTACAGCCAAATTTACTTATCAAATCTTTGTATCTATGAAAGAATTTAGTAAAAGTTTTACGTAATTTATGGTAACGAAATCCCTGACTTAATAATTTACCAGTGATGCATTGATTACGTTCGTTAAAATCTATGACATCACTACACACACGGGCATAACGAACGAGTTGGGATATATAAACACCGTATGATGGAGCCAAAGGAACATCGCCGTCTAAAAAGGAAAATTAACAGAAGGGAATGAAAAGTCGTCTCTTTTGTCGTAAATTTTAGTATGGAGTTTTCCTTTAGAGATTGAAATGTCCAAATCTAGTAAAGGACAACTGCTGCTGTTTATGTTAGATTTAGTTAAAGTAAGCTCTTTTGGGTAAATTTCGGTAGTATATTTAGAGAACTCTGGATTATTTAACGAAAACATATCATCTAGATAACGGAAGGTATTGTTGAATGTATCAACCAAATGTAACAATGACGTGTCTTTACTGAGTTTGGTCATAAACTGAGATTCATAGCAATACATGAATCAATCTGCTATAAAAGGGGCGCAGTTAGTACCCATAGGAATCCTACTACTTGTCGATATACTTTAACGCCGAAACGTACATATATTTTGTCCAGGATAAAATTTAAAGCTTCAATCATATCTTCACATTTCCAGTAAGTGTATCTAGCATACTTTTCTTTTTCGTTACAGAAAAAGGCTTTAAACGAGTTACAGCAAATAAATTTGTAATGAGATTTTTCAAAAGACCATTTTATTAAATATGAAAACTTTTTCTTGATAAAATTGTGTGGAAGAGATTAGAAAAATCATAACTGCCAACAGAATTTAAAGGACCATCAAAAGCATGTATTTCATCTAAAACCTCTAAAGAATTTATAACACTCCAAAAATAATTAATACCATTATTTTCATAAGCTTTATTACAATAGTAAATAACAAGTTCTTTGATGGAAGTAAGGGAGGTAGTTAGAAGCACTGTTAGATTGGTAGTAGAACACTTACTAGATGCGGAGATGAAACGGAATTTAAATTGTTTTTTGTGCAATTTATGTTACCAGTACATAGTAGGGACTTTCAAATGTTCGGAATATGTCCATTTTGTTCATAAAGCTCTTAATGTTTCTAAGTATTTTTTCATCCCTTGCTTTCAAATGTTTAGATTTTAGCGTTTATGATGAAGTTAATCAAAAAAGGGCTTCGGACGCACACAATTGATAAAACTAATCATTCATATTCTGTTGTTAGTCTAAATAATTTTTTAGTAGTTATATATATTATGTCTTCTATTATCAAGCATCATTGATTAAGGTTGTGTGCAGGCTAACGTTAAAGAAACGTCTGATAAATCGGTTCTGACTAGTTCTGACTTTTATATTCATAAAATGATTAGCTCGGTGCATCTAGTGCCAGTGTGTCGTTTTCCATTGAATTGTCGGTAAAATTTGAAACTGGTCCGCAATGGATACGGTCATATCAATTAAGGAATACAAAAACAGCTTATTCATTTCGTTCCGTATTTTATTTGTTAGTTCTGATTTCACTTTATTCCATTACATCTACTGGATCACTTTTTCTTTTTGTGAAATGTCGATAACAGAATAAGAATGGAATATGCTGTTTTTCTGGAGCAGCAGTACAGACACATACTTTATATTGATCACTATGAACTGTCCCGATTTGCAGAGTCTCTGTCATGTTCAGTTGAAGGGTTTTGCGCTAGAAAGTATGACACGAGACGCAACACATAAAGCATAGAGCAAGCCTGGATGACTTGTGCAGCACGTCTCATACAGAGTGCTTAAAATTATTTTACTCTTTGCTAATTTGCTAATATTATCTAATTTCCATACCATACCAGCTCAGGGAAACGGTAAAAAAATTGCATTCCTTTGCACTAGACATACACACAGCTTTCTTAATTCGGCTAACAAGTATCAAATCAAAAAATGCACAAGGGCGAATATATAATGTTTTAATAATCAATTTTACTACAAAGAAATAAGCTCTTATCTTAAATCGGAGATTGTTATTGAAAGCACTACTAGTATCTTTAGTATCAAATTAAATATCCTTATCTAAAGGATATTTTAAATTCTTGGTCAGCAGACATTATATTTCTTTTGTCATATTAACATAAAGAAATTTACATATTTCAGTACTTACTTCACCCTTTAGTTATATTTATTGTGTAGACTTTTGAACTTCGAAAAAAGTAACACAGAAAAAACGTGTAAGAATTTGAAATAGAAGTTTCTGATCTCTGTTAGTTGGTGTAACTGTTATGTTGTACTTATGTTTTTCCGACTAAATATTGCGTGATTATTGATATTCAAAAACCTTCTTTTCTATTAGGAAATTGATATAAATATATAGCAATATTTCTGTCCTACGATATACATGTACAGTACAAAAATGATTTAAATTTGGGAAATATTTGGCGAGCTATCAATTATGAGATTAACGTCTTCATTTATGCTAATTTCAGCTATATGAAGTATTATAATTGATTTCACGTGGAATGCTACAAATTATGCAGAAGTTTTGTGTTTAAAATTTTCATTTCAAATTTAAATTGTGATTAACATACATTTGTTTTATGTTGAAAATCTACAGATGAGAGAATTGGTTGTGGTATTTAGAAAATATATACGAAATGAAAGAAAGATTAAAATAATCGTATTTTAGGAAGAAGAACTTCCGCGCGTCAAGCAAAACGTGATGGTTACTTGTTTTCATTTCGAATAAATGTTTGAAAAACAGCATTTAACTCCATAATGAAAGGAATTGTACATTGGTTGAAATGTGACAAGACATCAAAGAAAGAACAACTAGAAAAGTCTGATATATTCATATGGAAAATTACTGAGTTTAACATTTCTATACAATGACTGAAATTACTAATATACAGTACTGACGATAGGGTTTTATATATTTATCTATATTTTATAGAATTTTCAGGAAAACGTTCAGAATGTCAACAATAGTATGTCCAGAGTGTACAGTAGAAAATCCTCCCTACAAACAACGATGTGAGGTTTGTTACAGACATTTACATAATCCTGAATGGAGATGCCAAAGCAATGCCTGCCTCTACTTAAATCCTGTTTCTGATTTAAAATGCTCAATGTGTAAAAAGTCTCGGAATGAAAGTGTTGGGAAAGGGAAACGTCCACAATCTGCCGATCGTCTAGGTAGAGATAAAGGTCAGAAAGAACCTGTGAAAAGCAATTTTTTAGGTGTTAGGCCAGTTGATGATAAACATAGGAGACCACGTTCAGCCGATAACCGTTTAGCATCACGATGGAAATGTTGCCAATGTAAATATTCTAATGGTGTAGATGAAGATGTCTGTGAAAAGTGCAATCATATGAAGGCTCCATGTTGTAATGTTCCCAAGGGAAAACAGTGGAAATGTCATGTATGCGACAATCTTACTTCTGAAGAATTTAACAGGTGTAGCAATTGTACAAAGAGGAGAAAAGATCCAGATCTACCAAAACCTGCAAAAGACTTAGATAAAGGGAAAATAAACCCAGTTGACAAACACTCAAATGATCATGAAAAGAAGAGTCCATTGCCTGGTGGGGATAAATGGACTTGTGAAATATGTTCTTTTGAAAACATCAGTGTAACATGTTCAAAATGTGGCGTTGGTAAGCCTAGAGTTACTGGGATAAACTTTATAGACAGACCACTATCTAAGCCTTTAAGACATGATCGTAGGCAGTCAGTCCGAGCTAAGAATTTGAGAACCATAAAAACAAGACAAGTAGAAGCAGAATGGGCAAAAATTGTCTTAAACTGTAAACAGGTTTGTGTTCAACTTTTTATTCGATCCGTCTGTTTGGGTCTTAACAACAATGCAGATTGTTAGCGTCTTTTTCAGTGTTTTAAACAAAAGAAATAAGATTTGTCAATGTAACAACAAGCCACCAAACACAACCTGAACTGGCAAGGTATTGAACACCAAAAGGTCACAAAAGAATAGTTAGGTAAATATTAAGGGATATAAATTATTATTTCTATTTGCGACCGCACAGTCTGAAAAGGCTTAGGGTTGTTTATTAATATATATATATAGTTAAGTAGTTCCCTTTGGTGGATTTGTTTCAAAACTATTCAGGAACCAATGCAGCTGTTTTAGATTCGGGTCAATACAGAGCTTAATATTGTATAAAACATGTCTTTTATTAATTACCATTAATTGACCCCTAACTGTCGTTTGCATTTTTGTGGTATTGGATTGCTGTTTCATTGACATAACACCAAACATTTCCTCTGGTTCACAAGCAATTTGTACACATATTGAATTCTTTGATTAGTGGTGTCAATATTCATTGAATTGACATCTCAAACTAACTACAGCCACATGGCATGTTTTAGAATATATACGAATGAAGGAAGATGTTGTCTTTAGGTCAATTAATGTAACACAGCAAATTTATATAAAAAACCAATATGTATTAAATATCAAAACTACAAATGGGTAGGTAGGAAATTTATTTTGAAATTGTAGTCTAGAAATAAAGTTACATAGATGGTAGTTGACCAAATTATTTCAGTCAAATGATTAGTAATAGACTAAGACCACATTTTCTTATACCAATTAGAAGGTATATTATATGGCCTCATCATTAGCTATACAATTTTAAGGTAAAAAGAACCCAGAAATTTTTCACTTAAAAGTTTTAATAGCATTATTATTCATATTCATTTTTAAGTGACATCTTTGCATGTAAATATGTACAAAACATGTTGACTGTTACAGGATAAGATAAACTTTACCGATAAGGATTTTCCACCAAATGACAATTCCCTCTTCAAAGTTCATAGACCTGGTGGAAGCAACATAAAATGGAAGAGATTAAAAGATGTTAAGGATGACGGGAAAGATCCTATACATTGGAAAGTCTATGACAAACCCACAGCAAATGATATTATGCAAGGAGAAATTGGAAACTGCTGGTGAGAGGATCAACTAACAAATTTAGTACTGTTTTAGGGGGGATAAGAAAATCTATGTAATTTTTTTCCCTTTCTATTTCTATGTGAAATGTATGTGGGGAAATTTGAATGAATTATACATCGAATTTGTCTAGATTTTGAAGAACAAATAAAAAATAGAACCATTCAATAACCATTCATGTAAGGAGAAAAATTGCATCTTGTGTTTGATAGAACATTTGACAATAAGCTTTATATCAAATGTTAAAGAATAGATTATTTCTATCGACCTTACATTGATGTGGAAATATTTGCTTCTTGATATACCACATTTAGAAATATGTCCAATTTATTTAGGTTCATATGTGCACTGGCTGTAGTGGCTGAGAGACAAAAGCTGGTTGAACGAATTGTTGTTACAAAAAATTACTGTCCTGAAGGAGCATATGTTGTACGACTCTGTAAAGATGGCATCTGGAAAACTGTCGTCTTAGATGACCACTTCCCAGTAGATCAGTACGAAAGACTAAAATATTCTAAGGTAAGAATGGCAAAAGGATAAAAGATATTAGCTTACTGATTAGTCTAATTAACAGATTAAGAACTTATCTAAGCAGTACTTCATTAGTTTAAAATATAAAGAAAAGGTCACTTTAAAATACTATGTATCATAAATTTGACGTCTGAAAATGGTTTGAAGTTTAAAAGTTTCCTGAAGTTGAAAAACGATGGAAGCATTTTTATTTGTTAGGTACTATTTATTATGGATTTCATAAGTAAAGGTGAAACACAAACGTTTTCAACAAAATATAAATTTCTTATAGGCTTGAAAATGTTGTATGCAGAATGTGTTAAACCACGAAATTAAAAATCAACTAAGATATTAAGCAATTTTAAAAAGTGGTATTTTCAATTTGTCATCAATCCACGACTTCGTACCCATAAACATAAAATCACGATCCGGAGGACAATGCGCAATTGAAATGAAAACATAGAGCATTGAGCACTTAAACTATATATTTTTTCGATAATCCAATTCAGTCTAAACCATGATTGATATCAATGATACTTTTGACAGATTTACACATTGATTTCATTCTTTAATTGGCAGTTCTACTTATCAGTATCAACAGTAATGCGTCTTTGTTTACTTTGTATAGACGGTTTCCATTTAGAACTTATCATATTAACTATTCAAAAACATCTGAAACATTTGCAGATTCCTAAATTTTAAAAGCTGTTTCTCAATGTTTTCATTCAATTTCATTTAATTGTTCTGTAAATGTGATTCTCAAAAATGTCTAAATCAATTAATAAGGGTTATCTGAAAAGGATTTAAAATATAGAATTCACATTAACTTTTGTATTTTTTTGTTCTTTATAAATATTGATACAGAAATAAAACACTTATGATTGGGGAAACTAGTTCCAAGAAGGGAAGTGGTTAAAAAACAATGACATCTTAATTGGATTTTTTCGGTGTTTTAAAACAACTGAATTATAGTTGAATGCATTATATGATCTTAGTTTCAGATGGTTGCAATAAAGAAACATTAAACATCAACCTTTTCAAGGAAAGGTAAAAAGATGTTTTCTCGTTGTACTTAAATTTTTATATTTGTTTTGTATTTAATGCAAAATGCCTTTGTGGAATCTTTGTAGCATGCTCCCCACAAGAGCGGGAAGTCATGGGTTCGATCACCGGCTGGTTAAACCAAGGACTTAAAAATAAGCGCACGCGACATTAAGGAGTAAGAGCAAGGAATGGTCGACTCTGTTGCATAATTATGTGTTAGGGGGATTTTCCTGTATTCTGATACTTTGTGTATTAGCAAGTTAAAACATTAGCTCAGCGTTTCTGTCAAGTAGAAAGCAGGGTTCATGTTCATATTGCATTAAAATGTTCTCGTCCTGAATATGCATTTAATTTGTCGCTGGATGTTAAGCAAATATCCATCATCATCAAAAATGAATTGCAGGCAAGAAGAGGCCAGTTATGGGTTCCATTGATTGAGAAGGCGGCAGCTAAGATGCACGGATGTTATCAAGCATTAGGATCTGGAAGGACAGTTGAATCTTTGTCATTACTTACTGGTGAACCATGTGAACATCTGTCCTTAAATGGTAAAAAATACTCCTAGGTCAAATAGATTAAAATATTGATACTACTTTTTTTTTATATTTCTACATAATTGAAACTGTTTTTATTTTGCTAAAGTTGCCAGTTACTTGCATGTGAATAAAAAATCACAAGATATTACCTAAATATGATAATCTGTGATAATGTAAGTATGTAAAATCTTTCAATATGTCGACTGAAACCGTAAATGAATTGAATTATATTGTTTTGTTGAAATCATGATTGTCTGTAATTTGTTAGGGGAAACGGTTCCTCGTTATCTAAATCGAGAGAATACTTACACAGTAGGTAATTAAAAAATGCATCTATGATTTACTTTGCTTGTATTAAATATGGTTGACCATGATTTTTTTTTATAGAAAAAATAGATTTTTCAAAGACCATTGATAACATGTTAATCTGGTCAACATTGACACATGCAAGAGATTGCAGGTAAGGAAAGTAAAATGGAATCATAATATAAAAAAAACAAGGAGATGTGGTTTTATTGCTAACGAGACAAAACTGCACCGAAAGAGAAAGACCAGGGATTTATAATACTACAAGACAATCTACGGCCCTCAACTATTAGCAAAACCCACCATTCATTCCTCATTTTCAAATGACGTTAATTTTTTTTAATCGTATGAACAGATATACTTATCTTCTTTCATTCGGTCAAAGGAAAATAGACAAGTGTAAAAGTCCCACCAAAACAACTTCTTTGTATTCTCTACAAACTATATTTAAGAAAATTTGGGATTTTTAATGAACATAAAATGCATTCCAAAGTTGGAAACAAGTTAAGGATATATCGAAATTTAAAAAAAAATCAAATTAGAAAATATCTTACTTGTTAAACTGCAAATGAAATAAGATTGTTTACTATTCGTAGAGAAAGCGGACTCACATTGAGAAAGGAAGATATTTTTATTTAGATATTGATGAAAAAAATATATAACATGTTGTTCAAGACGAAATCAATTATTTAATTCATTGCCCGAGACCAATAACAGTTTTGAAACCATACATGATAAAAAAAACTAATTCGAATGCTAGTAAACTTTCTGATGAAAATAAATTCATTTCAAATAATGAAGACATATTATATATATATATTATAATGTGTTGAAGCAACAAGAAAGAGAAACTCTGATGAAAAATGATTTAATTCCATCACGTTTTGTCTACTTAATCGATTTATTAGATTTGAACATCGGTACACTAATGCAGCCTTTATAAAGGAGCTGTCTCCTTGCATTATATGAAACTGTGTGTCTTAAGAGTAATCCATATTGCTGTTTTTTTGTAACCAATATATGATAAGAAGATATTTTCTTTATATGAATATGAAGGCAACAGTGGTATGCCGATGTTCAAATCTCATAGATCAATTAAGAAGACAAATCAAGGTAACGAACAAAAACTATAGGAATCGCATGAACTGCAAAAGAAGCAAGACCGAATGGGTCGAAATGGTAAGCGTCTCCTGTTATGTATGCATCATCCGCCATGCGAATGGACACTCAGTCAAAATGTCAAAATAGGTAATAGGACTCAATCGGTAAAATTAAGATAAGACGACTATTCTAGTATCTAAATATATATGTTGCATTTCATTATCAACTAAATCAATGAAATCATGTTTAATTTGTGTGTTTTGTCTTGTAGCGATAATTCAATTGCAATTTCTGCTCTGATTAGGACACTTTGATTAGTTTAAAAGATTTAGTGTATTGTATATTTTATCTGAGGTCGTGATGAACTACTGCATAATCAAAGTAAGAACAAGGAACATTAAATGTCATATTTGTCACAAAAATGTCTAGACTAAAGCTATTGACGTTTCCAAAACATATCTTCATAATCAAAAATACCTTTACTTATATTTGTCTAGTTTCTTTTAGCAAAGGAAGTCTTTCAAATGAAGATTTTTGAGGAAAATTACTCAATTTTTAGTTTTTTTCTGCTTTTTTCCTACTCCACCTACGATAGTAGAGGGGCATTATTTTTTCGGTCTGTTCGTCCGTTCGTTCGTCCGTCCGTCCGTCCGTCTGTCCCGCTTCAGGTTAAAGTTTTTGGTCAAGGTAGTTTTTGCTGAAGTTGAAGTCAATCAACTTGAAACTTAGTACACATGTTGCCTATGATATGATCTTTCTAATTTTAATGCCAAATTAGAGTTTTGATCCCAAATTCATGGTCCACTGAACATAGAAAATGAAAGTGCGAGTGGGGCATCCGTGTACTATGGACACATTCTTGTTTTGTCAATAAGATTGCCAAATTGAAGAATATAAATATATATGAGAACAAGATTATACATATCATATAGAGTTTTTAGTCCAAACAAAGTGTACAATTAGATAATATAATCACATTCTGACCAATTGTTTTCATATACTCAAGGAATCTGATTTTGTTCACATTTAATCCGAAGATTAGTTGATTTCTTGTTATGATAACATCATAATTAAGGTTTTTTATTTAGATTTTGCCCTTGGATCAAATTATTTCTTCAATTTCATTTCCCCCTTGTTGATATTATAGTTGTGGAGAGGCATTATTTTTTTTTGTCTCACATGTGACGAAAGTTGTGAAGTCGAGCTATTCATTATTCTGTAATCGTCATCGCTGTTGGAAACATTTAGGTTCAGTCTGTAGTTAATTTTTTTTTACATCATTGACCTTGTAAAATCTTCATTCAAATGTACGAAAATCGGTGAGAAGCTTCTTTCTGATCAAAAGAGAGCATCCAGAGCAAATTTATGAAAATATTTGTATTAAATTTTTCCGCATTTTGTTGATGATTGGATTTTAGAGACAGTCTGAGATTCAACTTTTTAAGACATCACATACTTTGTCAAATATTCATGGAATTTTATGAAACTTGGACAGAAGCCTCCTCATGATCAAGAAATAGAATATGGAACAAAATATTAAAAAATGTGTTTTTTTTTTAATTATTCTGTATTTTAATGAAAAATTTACTAAGTTTATTTTTAAAGTGAACATAAAGATGTAATCCGGGGATATTTCATTTAAGAAATGAATAGCTTTAACAGACTTTCATGGAATTGAACAATGCTTTCATACAAGCGTTTTAACAATCAAGAGATAGCAAATTTTTCAATCACTTTTTGTCTCGCTTTGGACGGAAGTCGCGGAAGGTGAGACGTAGGTGTTGCTTTTCCGGTGGCGACGGTGTCAACAATTGTTAAGTGATCTGCTTACGTCAGTTTGATAGGAACTACTTGTGATAGATCAATGATATTTTCTTTAAAGTTGCATAACTGTTAGTACATATAAGTTTGACGACTATTTCGAGGCCCTGCCCCCGTAGGTCATGGGTCAGTGAATTTCAATTATTTACCAGTTTTCAATGTTAAGTTTTCTGCCCAAGTTAGTTTGATAAAAACTACTTATGATAGACAATTACATTTTTTATATAGTTGCATTTCTTTCATTTCATCTCAGTTGATCGACCATTTCAAAAACCTTGTAAATATGTGAAATGAGGACAATGGTAATTATAGTTCGTGTAGAATATGTTGTAGAATTGTAGGTTAAACCTTTTGGTTAAAATAACATCAATGGATTTAATTCTTTGTATAGGTATTTGATGTGTACATCATGTGAAACTAAAGATGGATTTACCCCAGAATATTGTAAATCACTTGGACTAATAACAGGACATGCCTACTCTCTACTAGATGTATACGATATGGATACTGGAGAAAAGTAAGTATTTACATAGTCAATCTGGAAGGAATATTTCCTGTAATGGTGTGACAACTTTTGAACCTGCAAAATTGGATTGGACAGTATCATACTATTGTAGTACATTAACAGTTTTACATATAAGAAGTACAACACGATATGGATTTAAGGAGCATATATACACAGCATAAAAAGAACTTAAAATGTAAAATGGGTGAAATTTCTTGTGTAATGAATACAAAAATACATCCTCCAAAAAAAACAAAATACACAACAAAACAAAAACAAAAAACATAAAATAGCGAAAAAAATAGATAGATACGCTGAAGATTCACATTTAAGCTGCTATAGGAGGATTCCTCCCCGAGGGTATTACCAGCCCAGTAGTCAGCACTTCTTTGATCAATGAATTATCATTGGTTTGGAAATAATAATAAATTAACTGTTTACAAAACTTTACAAAAGAATTTTTCGAAATACTAAGGATTTTCTACTCCAAGAATAGATAACCATAGCTGTCTTTGGTAAAATCTTTCGGAATTTTGGGTCCTCAATTCTCCTCAACTTCGTACTTTGTTTATAGAGAAAACGCGCGTTTGGCGTACAAAATTCTAATCCTGGTAAATATGATGAGTATATTCGTATAGACAACAGTCATAATATATCATGCCATGAGATCCCTCACTATTTGTGTCAAAGAAAATTAAAAGTACATATAGGACTTCATTACAAACTTTCAATACAATAAACATTTTTTAGTATGCCTATAGCAAAAATGACAGAAGTTAATAGTCCTTTTCATATCCTTTTCAATTATAACGTTTGCCCAACGTGCTTGATTTTTGTTTTTTTTTCTTCATTATATTTTCATAAATGTCTTCATCGGGAAAACAACTGATATATGCCTTTATTTAGATTGTTAAAAATCAGAAATCCATGGGGTAGTGAATCATGGAAAGGCGATTGGAGTGATAGCTCTCCAAAATGGCAGAAGGTCAAACCTGAGGTCAAACAGAAACTTAAACCAGATGGAAACAAACATGGAATTTTCTGGATGGAGTTCAAAGATTTTAGAAAGTAAGGCATTCTTTATTTAAAAAAAAATCTATGTTAATTATGGAGTATCTAAGTTCTTATTATATCAAAAAGAAAACAAAGAGTGTGAAACTGCATCTAAGATTTCGGCCAACACAGTTTTCATTAAACGCAAATATTCTTATTGAATTGTATCAATTTCAATAAAAAAAATGCCAGGATAGGGATACAGGCTCCTAAGAACAACTTGTTTGAGATCTGAGCTACACCCTTTTTCATTTCGATCAGAAGAAAAACAAACGGCATGAAAGGTTTCAATCCCAACAAAAAAAAAAAAAAACAAAGAAGTACAGGAAAAGCACTTAACCATGAAATCGCTGTATAGTAGAAATTAAAATTTTCAATTAGCAAATTCTATAACGATAGCTATCCCCAAAATACGAGTCACAGTGATTAAAAAACAACGGTATTATCATAATACTATCGATGGCTCTAAAAACTAAAGGAGACATACTTGAACGACAAGTCTTAAAAGTTAAGCTTTATTAACAGTTTAACTACAAAAAAACTGGATGCGGAATACCTCTTTGTATTTATTTCTGCGGGTAGAAATATATTTCCACATTAAATAATTGTATTTCATACAAAAACAAGATTTTTTTTTAAATTTTGAAGTCAGTTATTGTTGAATTTTTACAAATTATGTATTAAAAGACACAACATTGTCTAAAGTATATTTTTTTATTTGGGCATAGTTTATCGTTTTTGTTTTTTCTTGATATGAACACGTGTACTATTTTTTTTACAATTTAAAAATATATAGCAAATTTATAAACCCAAAATAACACTTGTGTTTATATCACTAGAAAATGAAAACGCTCCACAACAAAAATATTACCAAATAAGCCTTTGACAATCGCACTTTTATTGATACCAAGTTAAATAAAATCCGACTAGAAATGACCCCACAATATTTTTGGAAAAAAAAAGTAGTTTCACATGAAATATTTCTTGAAAATCACAAGTGACGAATACCTGTGGCCATTCACTGAATATCCTGCTTAATGAAATTGTATTCTTATATCGGCTTGTGTTGTTAATTTTGTTTTGTATATTGGATCTTTATGAAATTTTGCCCTAAATTAAGATTCATAACAGAAAATGAAAAAAATTGCAATAAGAAGGGTATACATAGTTCCAATCAGAATACCAATCACATGTCGGTATAGTATCTCCGAAACAAACATAAATTTCATCAAACAAAAAAGTTATGACTGTGTGGTTAAGGCTTCTATTGAGAGAAAACAAAACATGTTGACAGAAAGAGAGACAACCTTTTTTTCAATTTCCAACGTGTGTGACTAGTGGCGTTCTTGTTGCGCAATCGTTCGTTTTTTCTGTATAGTGTTTTGTGGACTACAGTTTGTCTTTTATTACGCGTTTTCCTTTTAGATTTGGTGCTGTTTGTCCCTTTTCATCTTTTGGGTTTTGGATGCCCTTCTTGGTATAACAAAAATATCGAACTCCAAGGCAAATTCAGAAAGGAGAAGTCCAGAAAAACTGACAAATTCAAACGCTATTTTTTTTAAATTCTTTTTATATGAAAAAAAGGAGATGTGGTATGATTGCCAATGAGACAATTATCCGCTAAAGTTCAAATAAAGTGGATATAAGGCAACCGTACGGCCTTCAATAATGAGAAAAATATGTTTATTTGAATCAAATTCCTATAAAATTCATGGATTTGACGTTCTAACATATCTTGGGTGAACGAATAAAAGTATAACAAAAATACCGAACTCCAATGCAAATTCAAAAAGGAGATGTCCATAAAAACTGACAAAATTAAACTTAAATAATCAACGGAACGAGTGAAAAATCATTGGCATATTCCTGACTTAGTACAGGCTCATAAGCAATAAAAGTACTAAGTTTCATATATCAGATATGTAAATACAGATGTGTTTTGAATTTTTAATCAGGCATTTTGGTGATGTAGACATTTGCAAAACAAGAGACTGGCATGAAACAAGAATCAAGGGATCTTTTCCATCATCTGCTGATGGACCATGGAAGTTTGTAAAAGTTTATGTACAGAACAAAACTGATCTTTGTGTAGGACTGCACCAAAAGAATAAAAGGTAAGAATCTTACTGCATAACTAGATTATTTCCTATGAAGTAATTAATTATAACCAGGGTATTATTATTTTGATGATATTTTGGTTTTGATAACATTTTTGTTAGACTCATCTGTCAAACTTTGGAAAATTGAAAATTCTCATGACCATAAACCACCATAAAATCATAATAATCATAACCATATCTGTATATTCAACACTCTTCTTCAATTTTTAAAAGTAGGATTTCCGAAATATTATAGATTGTTTTTGGTCCTTGAATTTTTTAAAATAATTTTTCCTCAGTACTTAAATGATCTGTAAACATTATTCAAACTGTTACATTAGAACAACAGAACAACAGAATTTTAAAACAATTGCATTGGATTTAAACAAAAAAAGTATAAAACTTTAGATAATATTTGATACACTTTTTGTATATTATTGCTGGAATACAACTTTAGTATAACACAGTATAACATCAAAAGATTACTAGAAAGTTGAATCCAATATGAAATCTGCAAAAATGTCTGTTTCAACTTAATAGCTTCCAGAATATAAAAAAACAATCCTTGTCACAATATTTGTCGTTGTTTTTCTATTATTTTACTATAATGCAATAATTAGGTTAATATATTTTAGTCTCCAGAATTTATATTTTCAGAGGTAGCAGCAGCAACGAAGACTTTGTTGACATGTTAATAGTGGTGATGGAAATTATGGATGGTAAAAAGCTGAGAACCGTGGGTCATAGTAAGAGAGACATCAAAAGTTATGTTGGATGTGAAATTGAACATCTAGAAAGGGGAGAATACACCATTGCATGTCTGGCTTTTAAACATTTAGATGGAGGTATTAGGCTGAATTTAATTTATTTTATAGATAAGGGAAGGAAAGCTATTACGATGAAGTTTATACTGTATATTCAGTAACAATAGGATGTCAAATGGCTCAAATGTGAAGCAATACAAATTAGATTTTGCAAGGTTTCCATTCATTATTAATAACTTTCCGTCCAATAAGCCAAATTTACATGACGGTTGCCACATGTGGAGCAAGATCTGCCTACCCTTCCGGAGCACCTGAGATCACCCCCAGTTTTGGTTGAGATTCGTGTTGCTCAGTTTTTAGTTTTCTATGTTGTATTTTGTGTACTGTTGTTTGTTTGTCTTTTTCCTTTTTAGCCATGGCGTTGTCAGTTTATCTTCGAATTATGAGTTTGAATGTCCCTTTGGTATTCTTCGCCTCTCTTTTTAGTTAACCATATTGTCATTGGTCATAAAAAGATTAAAAAAAAGCATAACAAAAATACCAAGCTCCAAGGTAAATACAAAAAGGAGACGTCCATATAAGCTGACAAAATCAAATTTTATTAACCAACGGAACGAGTGAAAAACAGCTGTCATATTCATTAATTGGTAGAGGCATTTTCCGAAGAAAAAAATTTTGGTTTGAACCTGGTTTTATACCTATCTAAACCTACTACTTGAATGACAGTTGTTTATAGCTCCGTTATATTGACAAAATTTGGTTATCACCCCAAACAGACATAATAGATTAATGTGACATAAAGCTATTGAGATATTATTTACTCGTGTAGAATAATGATATGCCATCATAATCATCTGTTTTACCTGAACAACGTTGATTTGAATAGGAAACAATTTAAAAAAAAAGATCTTTTGTTACTATACTATTGAGATTTTTTTTTCATTTAAGTCATGTTCTCCTGAATTTGAAGTAGCTCCATAGTTCAGTGAGAAGTTTCCATAAAAGCAAAACATTAAAGGACATATACCTACATGAATGCAGTACCATGGCAAATTTTCTTTTTTGATGCCAAATAAACCTTGTGGATCGCCATGTTGACAGTTTATTTACAAAAAAAAATGTGTTTGCCATTGTCAAATTCGTATATTCTGTCTTTAAATTTAGACGGATCAATACATGTGTAAAGGGGGATATGACCAATTATGATACTATTTCATGAGGATACGGACTTTTATCTAATGTACACTACCTATATGTGAACATTGATAGAGTCAACTGCTGACAACGTCCCCTCCCTAAAACTCCGAACACACCGCCTTGAATCAGTAATTTCATATAAATGCCGTAGTTTTGATTGCTGATAAACTATGTCCGTAACTTGGACACAAACGCATGTGAAAGATTTTAAATACTACAAAGTTTTAATCCATTAGAATATGCATCTTGATAATAAGCTGGAAGCACTATTATGTGAGGAATGCAAGGTTGCAAACATATAAATATAATTGGAAATAAACAAAAATTAAAAAAAATATATTGATTTAAGAATTGAATGCTTTTTGTTGTAAATTTATTGGGGTGTAAAAGCGGCGACCGAAGTACATTTTGTACGAAGGCGCTTCATTCTAAAAATGTGTGCACGTCAATGCTTTTACAACCCTATAAAATAACTTAACGAAGCATTCAATACTTTTTTTGTTAGGATCATGAAAACACGATTTCTATCAAGTTTTTCTTTTATGTACCTGTGCACTTTATTGTGGAAGCTTGTGTCATCAAGAATGTTACATTTCATTTTGATATGAAGGTTAATTTCAGAATGACGCGAGATTGCTGTTAGCCAATCAAAATAACGTATTATAATGAACCATACATGTAATGTAATTATATAAAAAAAATAATGATAAAGAGAACATATCCACTCTCATACAGTATGTTTTAATTTGTCAGGAAAACATGGAAGTCATGTCCAGCGTGATTTTGTCCTGACAATACACAGTACACAGAATATTGTGGTAGAAGAGAATGACTCTATAAATGCTGGGTACAAACATTTTCTGGCAGATACCTTGATACAGTTAGCAGTCGATGAAGGAAAGCAACAGGTAAGTATTTCCTCAGATCAATGCAAAAGTGTATTGTTATTTTTATTTTCATCCATCTATTAATTTGTTTACACTTTGTATCTTAAGCTAAACAATCAGTGTCTGAAAATGAATGAAACTTTTAGGAAATCTTCAGTTCAGCTTTCGTGCTCTTCTTATTATATAGTAATTCAAAATAAAGTTACATAGTAAAACAGGGACAATACATATCTATACAAATTATTGAGTAGTGACCAATGCCAATACTTATTCCAATTTTATATCACCCCATTTGAGAAAGTCCCCAGGGTATAATGTTTCACCTGTCAGTTCGAACAACCTCTATCACTTTCTTCTCAGCAGGATAGACGTGTTTTCAAATTTTACCATATCATTTAACTTCAACTTTATATGAATGTTCCCGCTCATCAAAATGCGAATGATGTAAGTAATCAGAAAAATATCGGAACAATATTTTCTGTAGGGAGATTTGTAAATTAAAACTTCAGTAGTAGTTAACCAGTACTTAAATATCATTAATTGATAAGGAAGAGAAGAACCACGATAACAAATAAAAACTGAGGGAATCGCATGAACTCCAAAAGGGGCGACAGGGAATGTCTCAGGGTAAGCATCTCTTGTTATGCATACATCGTCGCCATGCAAATCCACACTCAGACTAATGTAACAATCGGTAAAATTACAGATCACATGACTATTGTAGTATCTGAAAATCTTAAACCGTGAAAACATGTCGATAGTGAGTTGTGACACAGACATACCGTGTAGGATAGCCACTTCGTGATGGTGACCGTAAAACTTATGTTCTGTTGATTTCTTCGCTATACCTATGTTGGAACAGTTTTTATGTAAGGAACACACCTCTGTGAATGAAGTTTCTATCGTGTGAACATGCACGATCATAACGTACATGTATCAATTGAGATATGTTAACGCTATACGATTAGGCTGAGGGTATGTTACGGCTGAGAAACGGGAAGTTGACATAGAAAGATCGAAATCATTATGTTTGTCATAGATTCTAGTTTTCAGTCATCAATCTGTGTCAATATTGAGGAAAAGATCGAGATATGAAGTAAACCATCTAGCATGAGAAGTATCTTTTATCTCAAGTTCATTGGGATATACGAGAACAGGTATAAAAAACATACAAAACCCCAAGGTAAATACAAAAGGGGGAAGTCAATAAAAACTGACAAAATCAAACACTAGACTCTATCCACCAACGGAAAAAAAAACTGAAAGCAGCTGTCATATTTCTTAAATGGTACAGGTGTTTTACATAGAAAATGAGAGTTAAACCTGGTTTTATAGCTAGATGCAAGCACTCACTGAAATGTGGATGTGGATTATTGAGTGACAGGACATCATTAATTTATATCTGTTTCTGAAAGTAAAATTAAAGATTTTTCAAGAGGATTTTGTCTTATTTCTTTGAAAATGTTCTTTCTTTGTAAATTCTGTTTTATCTGAGTACAAAAACAAGTCGGCCAGTACGGGTGCACAATTAGGACTAATTGATATACCCACTGTCTGTTAAAAAATTAATCCAAAAACCTAAGCAAATATGTTGTCAATCAAAACGTTTTGGGAATCAGTGCGGTTCTTCACAAAGCAAGATTATTCATAACCTAAAACAACCCAAAAACAATACATTTGTATCAACTGACCCAATTATTATAGAAAAAAGTTCTGTTAAATGAGACAATGTAATCCATCTTTTAATTGAGTACCCTGAATAGTAGTGTAAAACCAGACGTTTCGATATTTATAACTGAACAATTGTAAAAAGTGTGACTGAAGATTTTGTAGTAGATCATTAGAATTTTGAAGAATTCACCTGATTGACGCCGCTGGTAAAACTTATATAGTGTCGATTTCAGTCGTTCTTTCACATAACTCTATTGGAGCAATTCAGAAGAATAAAACCAATAGTGTTCACGAAAATCCCTTCAGAAAAAAAAAAGAAAACTATGCTAAAGAGTTATCAGATTGTAATAGAATATCTGTCAAAGCATCTTCTAAGACGTATTTGATATTCAGGATCGAATCATATTTCGGGATATATGTATATACACAATTCAAAATTTTCTTGTCATATATTTGATGCATATCTGAATTCCGATTATTATACCATGACATTGTATTAAAAACAAGTCAGAGATATTTAATTCTTGTAGCTCAAATTTAAAAGATCGATTATTTAAAACAAAAAAAGAATAAGAATTATTTTGGTCATTTATTGTTAAGACTATGTCTTAATTTCTATCAGACGTAGATGACTAGCTTTTGGTCTGTTGAATTCTTTCAGAATTTAAAGGAGAATAAGGCTAGCACCTACAGTCTTGCCCTGGATGGAATTTTATTGATAGTTCAAAATAAAGACGAAAAGGAGTATCTCTCAATACAGGAAGACTGTTCGAACTCAAGAAATCTGATGAGCACCAGGGGTTCTATGTTTACACAAGATGTAATACCACCAGGACATAGGTATTTATCTCAGAGATATTTTTTTTATCAGGAACAATAGTAAAGGTTTTGCAGCCACTTTTTATGTTGAATTATGCATCTTATATTATTACTGAAAAAAGGCAAATATTTCTTTTAACTGATTATTGAACATTAATTGACAGAAATAAAGTAACGACGAGTCATTCTTATATCATGTTGAGTTTGGAGATATTTCGTTAGTTTTAAACAGTAGCAAAGCTATGCATAATTGGAAAACACTGCTTCCAATTTAAAATAATAATGGAGGGTCCGTTTTGTACGAGATATGTTGAAACAATGTCGATGATTAAATTTACAAACATACTTACAAATATAAAAAAAGTATTAAAGTATCAGTACTATTCACACTGAATAGTAAATTCTTTGTTTTTTTCTAGGCAGTTGATATTTTTATTGACTAGAATAGATAACAGAGCTGGATACAGTTGCCAATCTTCTTCATCATACATTAGTAGTAATTCATCAACCTTAGAACACTATGGTGACAAGACAACAATTCATAAACCAGCAATTCAGAGGGAGCTAGAGGGCCTACATATTCCTAGACCAATTACATGATGTGCTTTTGTAGAATTCACGAGTTAGATCAGAAGGAAATAAAGTTTTCCTCTTTTTTCTGATCTTCATGATACGAATAAAAGCCTAGGAAATTTAACTTCTAGTTTGTATTATGTGTGGTAAACCAATAACGTTTATGTGGATGAATATATGCTATTTTAATTCCACATAATAGAAGAATGTTAGTAAAAATTGATTATTCGATTATAATAGCATGTGCTTGACTTGGATAAATAGTTGTGACAAAGTAAAAATTGATAAATGCATGTGTAGTTTTCGCTTAGGGAAATTTACGGGTTTTTTCAACCACTAATTAAACAATTTGTTGAACCTTTTCAGCGTAAGAGTCTCTCCAGGTAAACATTTGGTAACATCGATCTAATTCATACTTGTTAATTCTCTAACATCAAAAGAAGAAAAATGTAGTATGATTACAACTTTTTATCACAGATCAAATGACGTAGATGTAATTAACGTTTTTTTAGAAACAACAAGTAGTGTGAAGGGGATTATTAGGGTGTGTGATGTTCTAGACTGATATCATTATGATTGTATTTCATTGTTTCTTTTACAAGACAATCATGTTTGTATTCTTTATACTTTATAATTCTATACATTATTATTTCTAAAGGGATGTTTTTGCTAGCAGCCGGTTGGATATTGAATATCGAATATCGAATAACGAACCGGCTGCTTACTTCACATCCATCGTTTTTTTTATCATTTCATGACTATATACATTCAAAATCGTTTTGATATTTATTTTAGGAAGAAATTGATATCGATATAATTAGCAAACTATGTAGGCGAACTACCCTTTTCTCTCTTTATTAACCTTCAAAAGATGACGAGCATGAAATCTGATACGATTTTTAATGTTTCTTGAATTCTAGTGTGTCTCTATTGCTGTTCATTCCAAATTCTGACACATTTGTCCTTTGTTTCACCAAAACAATTTATCAACTAATCACTAGTGAAACACTAACAGTCAAGTCACAGTAATTCACATAATATGAGCTTATGTCATCACTTGGATTTTGTCGTCTTCTAAAGGATTTCACATTTAAAACCAAAGGGAAAAATGTTTGGCAGTTATGATGTATGGCATATCCTTTACAAGCAATTCTCCTCTTTTTCCTATTTGTAAGAAAACCGTTACAGGTACTCAAGACCTCAGGGATAAAGCTGCTGTTTTGGCTTATATATGAAAACGAAAGCAGTGAGATTAAACAAAATGCAGCTACAAATTATCAATAGGTGAAGATTTATCAAACATGAAATTTTCTTAAGAATCGAACATTCCATTTTGGACTGTTTCCCTTGAAATGATATTTCAACAACTTTCCCTTTTTTGGTTATTGTCATGCAAAGTATTAAAAAAAAAGAACGACCAGTAGGATAATGAACTTCAAATGAATCAACATGGTTGAAACAAAGTCGATTCCTCATAAATGACCAATTCTATCCATTTATTGCTATAATCTTATAATCCTAAAATGATCTACAAATAAGTCAACTTGGCCTAAATCGACAGTCAATGTCTTTTACAGAGTGGAATTATTGCCCTTCAAGTATTATTTTTAACATATTATGTGAAGAATTTTCCTTCTCCTGAATAAAACCACAAAGCAAATAAGCATTTGGGAGAAACATTAGTCAAAATCACAAATATAGATGCCAAGTGAACAAAACAGACTCCCTAGCGCTTCTTGTTTCTTGTTCTCAGTCATTATATAAATAAAACATTCATAATTTGTGTTAATTATAAATATACAATATTCTTTATTTTCTTAATCGAGCACTTGTCTGTAATAGAGCATTTCCTTTATAATTCATATTTTGAAATTTAATATGTATACTATCATAAATATACTTACATATTTTGGAAATTTGCATTTTTAATAAATTTATAAAATCAGTCTTGTTGTTTGACATTTTTACTAAAACAAATATTGCATCTCACATTCATTTTGTATCATGAAATGATGTTATCTGCTATTTGTTTAAAGTGTTCTAGATTATTTGACAGTTGTATACCCTGCATACAAACAAGGATTATAAGGTCTTATATTGACTATTTTATATACTCCTGGTGAGTTAAATTAAGTGTCTAAGATTCTTTCAATCAAATCCTTAAATAATTTACCTTTTAATATTATATAAGTTTGAATGATGTCAAAAACGTATTCAGTGGTAACCCACATAACTTTGATGGTTTGATCCTGAACTTGTTTTTAATTATGAATTATAATTATTTAAACCTCTCAGATGAATATGGTCATTCTATTTTTTGGTTTTTCCAGTGTTTGTTTCATTTTGTTTACCCTTGTATTTATATTTTACGTGTACTTTATCAGAAATTTTGCAAAAATATATAACATTTGTAAACAATTCATAATTTTGATCGTGAAAGATCGGGCACCGCTTTTTGATGATCGTGAAAAGGATCGTGAAAGATCTTGTGCCGCTTATTTGTTATTGGGAAAATCCAACAAAAACGTTAAAATCATTCTTTTAGTACATGATAATTTATATTTGTAATTGGTATAGCAAAAGACTGGATTTACATTACTTATTCAGGTTCCATTTTGTTGGCAAATATGACTAAGATGGTCCAATTCCATTGGATCTGATTATTTTATCATTCAATTCCAAACTGTAAAACAGTAAACAAACATTCAAGGAATCATTGCCAGGCGTCAATCAAAACAAACTTTTCAATCATTGAAGCCTCCGTTAACATGAATCGTACTACACTCTGCTTACAAGTTATCAACGACTGTTACGTTACCATTGTCTATAAAGAAGACTGACTCCATTTTAAGAGGAAAAACAGAACTGATTTGGTCATAGAACATTTTTTATAAGTTTTGTTTACATTGTTCGGGACCATTTCACTTCATTTCATTCCATCTTATTCTATTTCTATTTAGATTTTTAAGGCTTTTTGGATGAAAAACATTTTTTACATCTTTTATTAATTTTAATTTTGTATGATATATTACAAAGAGGCATATTATCAACAACCTGGATGGCTGTCATTGTCATACATGTTTCTTTTTTGGTACAATTTCATTGGGTTGTGTACGGCGAACACGGTTATTTAGCAGATGGCCTGGCAGCCAGTAGACTCCATGTTTACAACTGCATAACCGCACAATATTTTTTCTCGTAATATTTTTTTATTAAAAAAGACTCGCTGGTATCGTTGATGAATTTTACATTAGTTTCTCAGTCATTGAAAATAAGAGCTTGATATAGGTAAGATTTTCATACATATATGAATGCATGTTATATAAAATAAGTCAAAATTTGAACATGTTTTTATTCTTTTATTGTAAAAGGTAACCACTGAAATAAGAATAACGTTCTCCGTATATTTTTTGACCAGTTGAAGTTCGGTGCTTTATGTAAATACGGTCAACTTTCTTGAGTTCAAAGATAAATGTCTGGGATTGAGAACTACCTTTTGTATATCCGTGAGAACAAATAGAATCATTCTTTCGCAAATTATACTGAATCGCGGTACTACCATATGCCATAATCATGGAAGACAAAACATAAAGGCCATTTATAGGTGCTGTGAACACTCCAGTGGTAGGGTTGTAATGGTTTCCAATATTTGTTTCTACATCATCAAACTTTATCACATGGTTGGACAATGTTTGAGAATTCTTTACGAAAGCTAGGAAAGCAATCCTCTTTTTCGGTCTTGTAACATACACATAGGCCAATTAACTTGGAAGTACATTTGATTTTCAATTTTATTCGGCTTTACAGTTTGAAGAAAAGAATTTAGTATCTAATTGAAATTTTGATGATTTTACAATGTAAAAATGTTCATTGTATTTCTATTTACAAACCTTCTATGCAATATTTTTACCACAAACAGACGAACTAGAACACACACTAGAAAATACCAAAAACAAGCAAGCAACTTTACAATATATTCTATGAAATACATTTCAATAGAGTATACGTTAATTTGTTTGACAACACTGCAAGACCATCACTAATACGTGAGAACAACCACAGTAGTCAGTTTCTTGTAAAATATTTCTTACAGTAGAAACTAATTTATATAACACATAATATTAAGAACGTGAGATGTACAGAATTCATTAGTAAGATTATTTGTCCAGTTTTCTTTGTGCAACTGCTGTGTAATTTGATCTGCTCGATAAATAAGAAATCCATTTTGATAATTCTCTGTATTCGCTGAACTCGGCATTTTATTGTTACTCAAGGCAAATAGCTATGCTGTCATTGGATAGCAGTATAGGCAGCATTAGTTTTCTCAGAAATTTATCAAAAAGAAGTTACAAATCAAACTACAGACGAAAACTGAGGAAATCACATGAACTGCACAATAGGTCAGCGTGCGTGAACATGGTAAGGGTATCCTGCTTTACATGCATCAACCGCCATTTGATCATAGCAAACCTGAGATCTGTAGTGAAAGGTCTAATTAAGTGATAACTTCACTGTATTTGAAGATTTGCGGACGTCCATCGGTAGTTGTACTGCCGCAAATTGAGTTTACCTGCCGACGAGAAATGGTGACAGTTAAACAGATATCTGCGACAGTACAACTACCGATGGACGTCCACAAAGCTTCAAATACAATACAATTATTTCTATTCTAATGCAAAATAAACAAATCATTCAATTGTAGTCATTATTGCGGTGTAAAATTTTCATTAAACAAAAATTCCGCGAAATGCTGATATCTTCTTTGACACCTAAACTAGATGACGTCATATGCATGCTTCTGGTGTCAAACGTAAACACCTAGCACTTTTCTGGCTTCTTGTCCACCTCAGGATGTTATACAATTTTATAAAAAGAAGATTAGTAGGTGCAAAATGTGAGTTTTTTTGCTCATTTTTGGAGAATTTAAATGTCAATACATTCCGGAATACAAAATATCGGCTTCCCTTAGTTACAGACAGAACTATTGAAACAAAATGATTGCTTTATAATTTTCTGTTGCTTTTAATAATTGTTACAAGAATTTGATATATTCGAGACATACCTGGTTTTATGTCACTTTGTCTGTTTACTCTAATGAACATCTGAAGTAGGTCTTCTGTGATACATGTTGTCTTTCCTATAATAAAAAAAAGAATAAATCCAACAACCAAACAAACAAACAACGTCCACGTCCACACTGTTTTTGTTAGATGTATTTCTGTGTGTATCTATCTGATGAGTTAAGCCTTTTTCAACTGATTTTTATATATTAGTTTGTTCTTATGTTGTACTGTTATACCACTGTCCCAGGTAAGGGGAGGGTTGGCACCTTCAAACGAGTTTAACCCCGCCACGTTCTGTATGTGCCTGTCCCAAGTCAGGAGCCTGTAATTCAGTGGTTGCTGGTTTGAATTGTTTTACATTTGTCATTTTGGGGCCTTTTATAGCTGACTATGCGGTATGGGCTTTGCTCATTGTTGAAGGCCGTACGGTGACCTATAGTTGTTAATTTCTGTGTCATTTGGTCTCATGTGGAGAGCTGTCTCACTGGCAATCATACCACATCTTCTAATTTTTATAAGCAAACAAATAAAAATATAAGCAAACAAATAAAAATATAAGCTAAACAATAAATACAATATCGTCTCAAAGAATAATGGCTAATGCCGAAAGACAGTGCAAAGTTTATAACTTGAATAAAGAAATCAGACTGTCCTTAACTCTAATATCGATGGTGCTACGTCAAAGTAAATTTCATACTGTTACAGCACAGAAAGTCCATAACAACCCATGCATGTTTTAACTGTCTGTTATCAGAAAATTGATTGCATAAATGCCTTTTTTTGCTTTATCTCAATTATTAACCTTTGAAACATTTTTTTTTCGAATTCCAGAAACTCATTGGATACTCACAATAAATTTATTCTGTTGAATGAAATACTCGCTGAAAAGAATTAACTGCAAAGACAGATCTAATTGTATACTGATACTTACAATTGAAAACGGATAGAAACACTTTAAAGAGCTTCGTCTTTAATTGCATGATATATTTGCCACTGGACTTTAAGCAAACACCAATTATTTTTTTTTAACGACATTATATATTTATTCACCAAATATGCTTGTTACATTGTTACTTCAAGAGTCCAAACATTTCTTGATGTATCCTGTAATATTCCACTGATTAGCCAGGTTTGTAATCAGCTGTTGATATATATATATATATATATATATACATTTCTTGAAATACAATTGTACAAAAGACAAATTATATTACTTGCCCTTTCAACCTCTTTTAAACTATAACATTGGATTTACTTAAGGCATTCTGTGGCTTACCTTAGGGTCTAAGATTTATCTCATCTACCAAAGTTGTACACGAAAACAAACAACGTATTACACCTACCAGCATCACAGTCTCCTGAAACACTAACACTCATGGTAAGAAAGGCAAGGATAAACTGTACAGTCACCTTCATAGTCCTCACTATTGTTAGATAGCAGGAATGATGTTGACTGTTTTTCGTTGGTTTTATGCCAATGTTATACATCTAATGATCACATTGCATGTCTTATAGTCTAAACAAAATGAAACCTGATATTTTAACTAGCATGAAATAAAATTTGCCAAATTCAAGAAAAGTTTTTTTCAAATATATTTTTATTATTGATGTACTGAATGTTTACTAGCTCACATGGTCGAAAAGAGGACATGAACATTTTTTTCTAGTCGCTTTACGTCCGACATCTTCTGAATGTTTTTATTTTATAAATTATCTCTTCAACAATCAACCGAGCCAATTTTAACCACAAAATAACTTTTAAAATCAACCATTTCTAAACCCCCGTTTTATACGGACCTATCATAATTTTGTTTTAACTTTGTCTGGTTTCCCATCCAAAATATATTTAAAGCTTCTGTTTTCCATTTTCAATTTTCTGAAAT